TTGTAAATCACTTTTGTGTAAAGCTGAACAAAACTTAGCCTGGACCATTATAACAATATCTCTAATAAGTTAAATAGATCTTTTGTCATTCTGTAAAAGCGAAGGCATTTCATACAACAAAAAACTTTAAAATCTACCTACTATGCTTTATTACAGTCTTACCTCCCATACTGCCTTCTATCATGGAGTTAACATAAGTATTGCAAACCACCTATTTATCATGCAAAAAAATGCAGTCAGGATTATTGAATTTCTACCAAAAAATTCACATACATTCACATCTTTTAAACAATAAAAAATTTTAAAAGTATATAATAAAATAAAAATCGAAATTTTTTTATTTATTTACAGCTGCATAAACAAAAAGCTACCTCTTATATTAAATAAATGGTTTACTCGACACAGTGCAATTAGCTGTCAACTTACAAGAAATTCTTGTAGAGGTACGCTGAGTGTGTAAACATATAACACAAAATTCTTTTACAATATTACAAAATATGTCCTTAAAACTAAAATTAAATGCTACTTGTAACATTAAGATAAATAAAAACAACAATTGTATCATTGGTGATAAAAGATTTTATCACCAATGATACAATGATACAATGGTGATAAATGATATATATCACCATTGAAGATATATATGGTATATGAATTTTGACTAATCGCAGTCTTCTGTGAGTGTATTAATATTTTTTTGTTGTTTTTGTTTTTGCTTTGTTTGTGGTCTCTATCCTCGATTTAGCCAGACTATATGAAAGTGAACCATCCAGAATATATATATATAGACATCCAGAATATATATATATATATATATATATATAGACATCCAGAATATATATATATAGACTGTACATATATTTTTTGTAATTTATAACATGCTTATATAAAACATCTATATTTCTGGAATAACTATATTGCTTTTTGCTGTTTTTGCTGTCGTTTTTGTTATTGTTATTGTTGTTGTACTTTATAAAATGACTTAATAAACGTCAATAAACTTATTCTTTTTGTGAAATAAGAAATTGCTTGTCTGCAATTAAGAGGGTTTTTGGATTCATGAACACGATTTCATCAATGCACCCAGCAGCTTTATATCACGCACGACGAAATTATTTTCTTTAATATTCTTTCCACCATATACATGATTATGTGTCCACTGCTGGTGTTAAGGTTAATAAAAAAGCAATTAAACTCAAGCAGATGACTGCACGTCAGACGTAGCTGTACGAGGTGATGCACCATGGCAAATTAGAAGTTTTTTGTTGCTAAATATCCATAATTTCAGTTGACTTAGATAAATGCATAGATTATTGTATTAAAAGCAAGCATTTAAAGAAATACTGTATCTTTCTTGAAAACCACAATTGTGTCATAAATCATGAAGGATTATTCGATACGATATAATCTAATACTTTTGATATATTTGTACGTCAGAACACCTTAAAGGCTTACAATACACTTAATATCATGGCAGTGAAGGTTTAAATGCTCATTATGGTATTGTTGCAATTGAATCATACCAAAAAATAGCTTTTATTATATATTATTATTTAGATTTTACGATTTTACTTTAACAGCACTTTTTGATAATAAGCACTTTTTTAACCGGTGCGGTTCATTACTTCTAAAATACTCATCTAAATGAGTTAAAATTTTCAGGAAGTGTTTACCATTATATAATAGGTATATAGAATTAATAATGTGTTTTTATAGTTTTAGTAATTTAGTTATCAAACTAAATTTATTTATTTTTTATAGTTTTTCCAATTTTTATTCAATACATGGATTAGCTTGTTATAAACCACCAGACAAATTTTGAAACCAAACAGGTAATTGTTGTTTTACAATGCGCAGCATCTTTGACTGATTTTATCCTTTTTTGATCCAAATAGGGTACTTAAATAAAAAAATTAAAAAATTAAAATATTTTTTTTGTGTGTGACCTTTCTTTAAAATATATAACATATATACTTATATATAAAAATAATAATAATCGTGATAAAAGTTGTAATTTTTGATTTTTTTTGAAAAAACATCAAAAATTGGAGATTTAGTTTTTGTTTTTTTATTGTTATTTAAGTGCCCCAAAAAGACCTTACGGTCTTGTCACAGAGCACCGCGGAAGTGCATTTAACCAGAAAGTTCACGACTCCTTCCTTACCGTGACGCGAAAATGTCCAAGGCTCGTTTTGAACCTGAATCTCCTGCTTATAAAGCAAGCACTCTAACCACTGAGCCACGGTCGCACAATTCATGAAATGAAACAGAAAAATTGAAATAATTCAAGAAGTACCTTATTATGACATCAGTTTTGCTTTAGTCTAAATTGTCATCAATGTAGAGAACAAATTCTGAAAATTTGAAACAAAAACCTTCAGTCTAATAAGCTATGATTTTTCAAAAATTAAAAACACTTTATAACTAAAAAATATTAAAAACTTCAAGATGAGATTGGTTTTTAAGTTTCTAATTGTTGTTCCTCATTTTGTCAACTATTATTAATGGCCTGTAGTTGCAATCTACTGCTTTTTCTTGCAAAAGTGTCTTTTTTGTTCATATTGATAATGATTTTTTTATCATTAAATATGAGAACATCGCGATTTTTAAACTACTCTCAATGTTGAGGTGACTAATTACATCAGAACATCAGTAAAACATCTTATAAATTCTCAAAACATCAGCAGTTTCTTTATAAAATAAAATATTTGAGTTTACTCTTAACTTAAATGGAGCTTTGTAAAAAAGTATTTTTTTGGAAATTTTACAAAGCTTTGCTAATACCACAAGCAATTATCACATGATCAGGGCTGCTGAGAGCCGTCATGTTACCTGAGACAGCAACCCTAATTGGCGTCCTTATTTATCAAAATTTTTCTATATTATAAATGAAGGACTTTTATTTTTTAGTTACCTTATTTTCATTTCATGTCGCCCCTTAGATATCTGCCGCCCGTGGCAAACTGTCGATTTCGTCCCCCCCCCCTCCTTCCTCTCGGTGGCCCTGCACATGATACTATCTCATACATGATACTATTTGATTCTACATGATACTATCTGATGGCTTTTGAACTGACAAGACGTATTTTATAACGTTAAATTTTCAGTTTTTTTAATGTTTTTATCTGCAGTTTTATTTTATTTTAATATAGTTTTTTATTTGCATTTTTTCTCTATATTTTCCTTCTCTATTCATTTGATTTTTACCACTATCTTATTGTTTTACTTTTCTACTACTAACAAACAGAGCTGTCAAGTTTTATAAACGGATATGTGGAAGCTTTTTGGTATTTACCCACCAAGATGTATTTGCCTACTATATATCTTGGCCTATATATCTTTGTCCTCAAAATCTTTCGGACTAAATATACTTAAAATAGGCCAGAAAAACACAGACGGAAAAAGAAGAAAATAACAAACTACAAGTTGAAATTTTAATTTTGTGCTATTGATTCCGATGAAACAAAAGTGCTAAAGACCTATAAAATCCAAAGAAAGCATCGAACCTTTGCTTATCGTGCTTGAAGACATTAAAGAAAAAATATTGTTTTTAAAGCATAAATTAGATTAAGAAAAATCAAAAAATAAAAAATGTGTTTATAAGTCGCAATGTAACAGCTTGTTATCAACAAAAAATTTATATCTTAAAGCTAAAAAAAATTTAGTAAAAATTGGCTTAAAAAATCCGAAAATAGTTATTTTAGTAACCCATAAAACAAAAACATTCAGAGTTTACAGACTTTAAAAATCGTTGACCGTAAATCTTGACTTGTCGACAATGAGCTCTCAAATTATTTTTTACCAGAGTATAAAAATTTTATTAGCATATTAAATCCTATTTAAGTTATGATATAAAAGCTGCTAGAAAATGTGCATTTAAAAGCAAGCCACGCTAGAATTAAAAAGTTTTATTTATGTCAAGAAATAAATCAACCAGTTTGTTGGCTATATGGGTTAGGATGTGATTAGTGGAATCAATAGATGAGATTAATGAAAAGTTCTATAATTATAAATTAGCACTCCACTGCCGCCCTAAATACGAACTTTAAAAATATTTTTTGTCCATTGTTTTTAAGTTTACTCTTGATTAGGTTTTTTTTTCTTCACTTTAATATATGGCAAGCTTTTTAAAATACTTATAAAAACATTATAAAAAGTGGAACACTAAGGAGTGATAAACAATTGTATAGACCAATGATTTTTAAGATTTATTAGTAACATTGTACGCTTTTGAGGGTGAAATTGGAGTCTGTGGTGGAGGGTGTTGGTGGGCGAAAACATTAAAAAGATAGAAAAGATTAGATAAATTAAAGAAATGTTATTTATTTATTTTATTTGTTCTGTTAAAAAATAGTAGATTAAAAGCATATCCTCTAAATGTTAGGATACATCAATTCACAGTTACCACAATTACAAACTCCTTCCGGGGATTGGATTCACCGCAACGAGGACTGTTGTTTTTTATTTTAATCTATTCATGTTTGATATTCATAAAAACTCCACCCCTCGTACGTTTACCCAAAAAAAAACGCTGATTAAATGAAAGTTAAGTAAAGTAACTTTTATAAATGTCTTATATGCAACATACATCATAACTATATTTTAGTTAATGCGCAAAGATATAAATCTATATATTTTTCTACTCTTTTTCTTAAAAAAAGGGCAATGTAGTGTATTTTTTAAAAAGCGCGGTAGGCCAAATAAGTTTGGGAACCACTGGTATTGACCATCGTATTTTGCGATTGTGTCTGAGCAAACTGTATTTTCAACTATATTTAAACTATATTTTGAATCACATTTTTTCATTTTTTTAAACTTTTTTACTAAACGATGCTTAATAAAATTGTTGCTGAACAAAATTATTAAGGTATCGTTAGGTATATTAAATATTAAATAAATGTAGGAATATTGCAGAATTTTTGGGGTAGTTGTTGAATTAAAACTGTATAAATATTTTTAAAATTGTTTAAATATTTTTTTAAATGTGAAGATTACGAATCTTTTCAATCAAGTTAGTTATTTTTCACAAATAAAAAAGTTTAAATAAACTTGTAGCGCCATTATCACAATTGATTAGAGACAACAGTTTCGTTACTACTTTGATAAAATCGAGAATCAGTATCCGTTGAAGAATTCTGTATCTCTTGAACTGTTTTAGAAAACTTTTCAGTTACCATACTAACGTATGTTAAATATACCTTTCGTATTCTTTTACTTCTGACCACATATATAACAGCGTTAAAAGCCGAGTTAAGCTCGCACAAAGTAAGTGTAGAAAATAAAACATTTAACCCATAAGCAACAGAATCATATTTTTTTAAATATAGTATAGATGCAACATAGTAACTGACTGTAACGGAAGGTAGATATAAAACTATCAGTGATATTGATATTAGAATCATAGTGTGGGTCAATCGCTTTTCCACAGCATGGTGTTGTAAAACGTGAATTTCTTTAGTTCTCAACTTCTTTTTAATTGCAAATAACAAATAAGTGTTGATAAATAACACTGAAATTAAATTGCTTGCTATAAATGTTGCAATGCAGAAAAAAAATACTGACTTTTGAAGAAAAGTGCCTTGCTTATAAACAAGAAGTGTATACCAAAGGCCCAGTCCAAAAGAAATAATAAAATGTAAAACTATTATTAGAAAAAGATAATTAAATTTAAAATAAAGTCCACAACATTTTTTCTCATTGAAAATTGCTATAAACCGTTCTACTGATATTAGCACGACAATCGATCCGGAAAAAGCTAATGGAAAGGCAATCCAAAATCCTATTATGGCAATGATTAGACAACCAATTTGATTTAAATTCTTTGATAAAATCACTTGCAGTGGAATATGAACTAAAGCAACTAAAAAATCAACAAGACTTAATAACAAAACAAGTTTTTCATTGCGCGAGTAACCTTTCTTTCTTTGTGACTTGCACAACCCTACAAGCAAAACAACATTTGATATGAATATAAGTACTCCATTTGTTATATTAATAGAGCTTAGTATAAAGCCATTATAATCTTTGGCTATTTCCATGTAAGGAGCACGACAAAATTTGTCAGTCTGCTTTGTCTTGAGTAAATAGGACAAATAGTATTCATAACTCATGTTACTCATTTTTAACAACAGCTGTTAAAGTAACTCGTCTTTTTTTTTATGATCCAAACTATATGACTCTAATTTATTTATACATTTGTTCTTTGAATGATTCACGATTGAAACATTTTCCTCTTCATTGTTTAAATTTATCTAAGTTTATAACATTGAAAGAATTAAGTATAACCGTCTATAATAGATTTATTTATTTAAGTTCTCAAATATTTTTACGCTAACCAAACATACGTTGGCGGATGCATTAATTCATTTCTAACACAAAACCAATTTTTTTAGCACGAATACGTTAAAAACCTGTTAATCTTATGGGAAGTTTTTGTTTGGACTATTTGTGTTTACTGAATACCAATTGTTTTAGTTGTAAATAATTTTACCACTACATTGTAATATTGATTATCTTTATCAATGTTTAAAGACCATAAATATTTTCAACTGCAAAGCAAATATTAATGTAAAAAAAAAACTTGCGGTACATTTACAGAATTAAGGGTTTCTAAAAACGCAGACATTGTTTTCTTTGCAGAAATATATAAATTAGATTTTTATATTTCGTTTTAACTTTTTTTTTTTTGTTAAGATAATATTATTATTTTAGTATTTTTTTAAGGATGTTATTTACTTAATAACAAGCACCTGGACATCTTGAAAACTGACTTGATAAATACAGTTTCTTGAAAATCAAATGCGACAGCAAGTTTTTTACAAATAAGCCAAAAAAGTTTGATCTTTTGTAAAGAATTTTCTAATCATGCTAAAAAGTAGTATCTAAAACATTGGAAGTGATAAAAATTAATTAAAATAAAAATAACTCTATTTTTTAAAAAGAAAGATATAGGGGATTTCGGAAAGCCCCGGACGGCGGGTAACTCCGGACACTTGTTGTACAGCCTAAACTAAAGAAGCCATACGACTATAAGTACTACAAAAACATTATTTGAGTGAAAATATGACATATGCAAAATATCTATTATAATATGTCGAAGCGATTGGCTGGAAGTGCAAAATATTGTTTTCCGTTAACAGTAGAGTGATGTATCATCATATTTGATTTACATATTAATATATCTAATTTTTATGTAAACTAATAAATTTTTATTGATTAAAGATACATTTTTATTTAAAATATTTATTTAAAAAAAGATATTTGTTTAATACTTTAATTCACTTGTTTTAAAACTAGTATTTGTGAATGAGGTATGATCGGCTGGTATTGGACACGTGTTTGGAGGTGGCTCCGGACAACTTAAACCATTTACATATTGAAAATGAGCAGCTTTTTTATATAAATAATAACATATTTAATATAATACACAAAACCATAATAGCATTCTTTTATTCTCAATAAAAAGACCTAAGATTTGAAAGAAGTGTTTTTAATAGGGATGCACCGAAGCAAAGATTTTGCCGAAGCCGAAGTTTCAGCTGAAATTACTTTGCCGAAGCCGAACCTTCAGCCGGAGCTGAAGCTTTGGCACTTACATTGCCAAGTAGTAAGTACTTAGATCTGCAAAAAAGCAAAATTTGCTTTTTTGCAGATCTAACTAACTTGGGACAATACTAATTGTTTTACTGCAATTATAATATGTACTGCATATTGAAAAAATATGTACTTTAATGCACAATGTGTTTCACTGCCACTGCAAATCATCAATTTTTTTTAAGTACGCAATGTCATAAGATTTTAGGATGTAGCTATGCCTTTTTTAAACAAGTTTAATGTTATATGGAACAAATTATTTGCTAATTAGTAATTACTAATTACAAATTAGTAATTGAATAAGGGTGTGAATTATAAAACTGAATCGGCTTTTCATCAAAATAATCAAGTCTAAACTTTGAAATTATATTATAAACAATTTTAAGTATACATTAGTTTGTACTTTGAAGTATATTAAAGTTACTATTTAGTAATTGCTAATTACAAATGAGAAAAGTTATTGTTATTATATTTATTAGTTTATTGAGTTTAAATTAATTAACATTGTTAATCAGGCATACTATAATTTAAAAGCGCAATCTGTTCTACATGCTTAAGCAACAGCGTGTTTCTTTCGGCTTCAAATATATTTCATATTGTGCTGAACAGACGTTTACTTTTAACAGATGAAGGAGATGCGCACAAAATTTTTATTGAAAAAGTTGCCAAATCCCACTTGTTAGTGTCCTTATCAGAGCAAGTGTAATTGTAGGCATCCCACCAAGTATAAGGGCATTTTATGATAATGTTGAAAGGCTAAAGTAAAAGTTAATTTTTCCATGTTGAAACAAAAAAGTACGAATCAATTTAAAATTTTATCTAGTATTTCAAATCTTTAATCAAGAAACAAAGAATTTTTATTTTACTTTAAAGAATAAACATTTATAGTTGATAAATAACTGTGGTGGATTGAAAATTAAAAATATTAAATGCAACCAGACCCTTAACTACAGAAAGACATGGCCTGCCTGTGTATAATTTATGCCTTCTTACAGTCATCTATACATAATATAGATATAAAATAATCAGGTTGTAAAAATTTTGCCTACATGCAATTCTGGTTTGCATATCTGTAAGTAAATTTCTAGTGACAGGACTGAATGCAACAAAGAAAAAACAGAGAAAATAGAAAATTACTAATTTGAAATTTAATTGATTTGAAAATTGACATTAATTTTAAATTAAATATGTAATTAATTAATGAAATAACAACTTTATTTAGATGTTTTTTAGTCGTGCCATTTTACTTTCAGAATTTGAGTTTTTCCTCTTGGATTTGTGTTATTACACTTTTTTTCCCTCAATAATTTTTTCTTATTTCTGTGAAGAATTTCCATTTGTACCCATTTGGTCAAAGAAGCTATATATGTCATCACTCTGCCCTCCCCCCCCCTCCTCTAGTGTAAAATAGGACCGATAAGGTAAAAACTAATCCCACTGACGCCATTTTTATCATTTTTTTAACTCTAAAACGTAGGTAGACTGAATTATTAGTTTCATTTTTTACTGAACCACTCTAGATTTAATAAGCTGACAGCGCCATTATTACAATAATTATAATAATTTGTACGAATATGGCTAAAAACTTTGTTGATTTGTTGGAGACGAAAGATGTTTTGTCCCCGACGAGTTTTTATATAAGGAATCAAAGACAGATCTTAGTGATCATTCATATTATGTATATAGACTTACAAAAATAATATCATATTTTAATCTTACCCAGTAAAAATATCTTTCTGCATGAATTAAAAAAAAACTTGTTTTGATATCTCGCAAGTTTAGAATTATTTTGTTTTATTTCCATGTTTTTCCGAACCGAGAAAACCAAGTTCAAAGTTTTAAATGGACCTCCTGGCCAAATAACATAAACTGGTTTGTATTAATTTCCTATACAGGCTATCACAATTTCAAAGAAATTGTTTTAAAATAATTAAAGTGCATGTGTCTGAATTACTACACCCTGATTTGGAGATAGAACTGTAAGGTACATTTTTTATTAGATAAAAAATCTTATTTTACACTAGTGAACAAGTTACATAAACACACTATTTTGTCTAAAATTCCATTAAACGGAGAAGATAAGTAATATATTATCTAAAGGATGCACTTTAAATAATATATTACTTATCTAAAGTATATACTTTAGATAATTAATATATTAGAATTTATAACTATTAGTTATAAGTTCTAAAAGTATACCATAAAAGCATACTAAAAAAACTAAAAGCTAACATCTAAAATACATTGCACAATAAAAAGATATCTTAGAGAATAATTAGTTAACCAGCACCTCTGGTTAATCCATTAAAAACATAACATTTCAGTAAGAAGCCCATTTAACAACATAAGATATAAAACAAATATTTTTTAAATAAAATAAATTGTTTTAAAATACTCTTATAAAATAGAATATTTACAACATGCATATTTACTTGAACATACTTTGAAGGACATTGGCTTTATCATTTAAAATTTGATTCAAGGGAGAAAAAATTTGTACCACTGTCATGACAAAGATCGTAGATTGTTAATTTATGCTTTTAAACAAACATTAGAACATGAATTTCTGTAGTATACATGATCTGAATGTTAGATGGTTTATCTGCATATAGGAAACAAGTTTAAAATTAAAATAGCCTGCATTAGCTGAAAATGCTTGAAATCTAATTTCTTTATTTCTTCAGGGCAATTTCTGCTCTTCAAATTATTTTTTGAAGAGCAGGAATTGGTCTGATTAAACCAATGGGAATAAATATTTCAACAGGAGCAAGTGCTCTATTAATTTGATAGTGGATATTATTAACCTTTTGTATACTAGAATTCCCATCTCTTAAACTTTTGTTAAATTACTCTGATTTTTGGGTAACATATCACAAACCAAAAATCAACAAATATAACTGTTCATTTTTCATCACTGATATTTTTTGTACAATTAAATTTACAAGAGTTTAACAGTCTTTTTTTTTAGTTACAGACTTGCATAAAAAATTTTCTCTCTTTCTAATTTTATACGGCTGATCAGATTGTCTTAGCTGCTTTCTCACATTCTGCGTCCAAGTTCAGGTGCTGACTTTCTTTTCCTAGTTTTTCCTCAACGTAGGGGTAGACGACGAGCTTGTGCTATTTTAGAACAGTCAGATCAGTCTCTGAAAAAAAATTCAAGCGTGTTTTTAAATTGCAATAAATTTTTTTTCTTAATCAAATTCTAGTTAAAGAGGTACAAAAAAGAAATATTTTTCAAAATTGCGCACGCCAGACAATTAATTACCGTCCGGCCAGCGCTTTTAAAATTATTACAGAAAAATATTAAAAACATTATAGGTAAAAAAATTTCATACATGAGGAATCGACTTGAAAACCAGGTATTTCACTAATTACCTGTAATTGATGTCTATTCACTATGCATTTGTTCGGCAATACTCTGCTAATGCAAAGCTATGCTAAACATTAGAGTAATTCTTGGAAAAAGTTATTTTATATTTTTTTAGTTATTTAATAATAAAGTTATTTAAAATGTTGCCTTGGCTATTTAGATCATAAGTTAGACAAAATACTTGTTTAACTCACTTAACGAAGTGCACCAACGAGAAGGTAAGCCATAGGACTTTGCACTCCATCAGTAAACTATCATGTTCCCTAAGGTTAGCCCTCGATTTCTAGATGCTTTTCTCTTCTTGATAGGT